GATCTTTTAGCAATTTTCAAAAGCTTGGGCCCTCCTACACTCTTTGTCACATTGTCAGCTGATGATTTACATTGGCCAGAACTGGGAATGACACTTCAAAATATAGATTTTAAAGATGCTTTTGGAAAATCATTTTTTCAATCAATGAGAAAAGATCCTTTACTTGCTGCCACACATTTTGATAGAAGATTTAGAGCATTGCTAAAACATGTTGTATTAGGAAAAACTAAACCTCTAGGAACGGTATTAGATTACTTTGCACGCATTGAGTTTCAAAATAGGGGGAGTCCTCATGTTCATATGTTTTTATGGATTGATGGGCTTCCTGCTGAACTTAATCATAATACTGCATCTGAATTCATTCATTATATTGATAAAACAATTTCCTCAAATGTTCCAAGTCTTGAAGAAGATTATGAACTAAATTTGCTTGTCAAGAAATTGCAAACGCATCATCATTCTGCATATTGTAGTCATGGATACAAATCAAATTGTAGATTTGGTTTTCCTAGAAAAGTTGTTTCTACTACTAGAATTTTACCAAATATTGATTTACTTGGGAAATCAAAAGCAAAATTTTATGAAACAAAGCGAAATCAGGAAAGTAGTTTCATAAATGATTACAAGCAAATCAAATTGTAGATTTGGTTTTCCTAGAAAAGTTGTTTCTACTACTAGAATTTTACCAAATATTGATTTACTTGGGAAATCAAAAGCAAAATTTTATGAAACAAAGCGAAATCAGGAAAGTATTTTCATAAATGATTACAATAGAGTACTTTTACGCCATTGGAGAGCTAACATGGATATCCAGATAATCAAAAATGCAGAAGGGCAGCATATTATGTTTGTTCATATTTATGTAAATCCGAACCAGATGATTTAAAAAATGCACTGGGAAACCTTATTTATTCTATTTTTAAACAAAATCCAAATTTATCGAAGTATCAAAAATTATTGCAGATTGGTCTCTGTGTGTTAAAACATAGAAGAATGAGTGCACAAGAAGCAGCTTATCGTCTTGGAAATTTACATTTAATTCATAGTACAAGGAAAGTTGTTTATATAAATACACGTATTCCAAAAAAGAGATTCAAAATGTTGAAACCAAAAAAAATTATAGAGGAAATGAATGATAATTGTACAGATATATTCTATACAAATTTAATGGATTATTATCACAAAAGACCACATGATTTGGAGAGTTATTCATTTTATAGATTTGCTTCCTGGTATGAAAAATGTACCCCACCAAAAGGTCCTCTAAGTAGAAAAGCTTGTGAAAGAATTTACATTGAGAAACATGATGTTTGGTTAAAAAAACGTACAAAACCTGTTGTACTGAGGTATCCAAATTTTGCATTATTCAGTGAAGATTACTTTTATAGTTTTATTCTTCTTTTATTACCACATAGAAACGAGGAACAATTACTTTCAGGACATGATTCTGCAAAAGCAGCTTTCTTTTGCAAAACAACATGTATTTGATACTAGCTTCAATTTTCAGTATATATCATTGACTGAGCAAATATCAAATATTGTGAGAAGAATACATTTATGTGAAAGTGAGTCAAATTTCAATGCAAGAATATACTTTAATTCTGTTGACAATACTTCTTTTGAACAGGAATCTGATGTACTTGTAGATATACCATCCAATTTTCAACAAAATTCATCACATGCTATTTCCATCCCTGTGTTTAATGAAGATGTGACATTTAATCACTCTTTAAGTTGTAGAATGTCTGTTGAAGATTACAAAAATAATTTAAGAAAACTAACAAAGAGTCAAAAACAAGCACTTCACACAGTACATTGTCATTACCAAAAGCCGGAGAAGGAACCATTGCATTTATTTATTACAGGTGGTGCAGGGGTTGGAAAGTCATTTATTACTAATATTATTATTGCATATTTGGAAATGTACACCAGTAAGTTGTCAGGATCAAATCCAGTCGTTGTTTGTGCTCCAACAGGAACAGCAGCTAGATCTATTCAAGGTTTAACTTTATATTCATTGTTCAGCATTCCAGTTTAAAAATTACACCACTTTTGAAGAGCTATCAAGTTTTATGCTTAGTACATGTACATGTAAACTGCAGCTTAAATTTTTAAATTTTCATATTATTGTGATAGATGAAAAAAGTATGGTCAGTGATATGATGGTAACCTATATTAGTCGAAGGTTTTCACAAATTAAAAGAAATAATGCTGTTTTCGGTGGATTAAATGTAATTGTAGTTGGAGACTTCTTTCAGCTGAAAAATATGTATTTCATAACAAACTGATATGGCATTTGTTTTCACCAGTGTTTTGACAGAAAATGTTCGTCAAATTGAAGATCCCTTACATGCACAATTGCTTAATAGCGCATGTGTTGGTCTACTAACATCACAAGATGTAAAGTTGCTTTTGACTAGAGTTAATGTTAGAGATACTGACTGTTTACACATTTTTCCATTACGAAGAGATGTTGCAGAATATAACAACTTAATGTTGACTGATATGAATGAACATACTTATACTATAACTGCAGAACATTATTTCAGTACAGCAGACATCAACCCAGGTCAAAATGTACCAAATCATTTAATACCTCTACTGATGAGCGTGATGCTGGCGGGATTTTTGCAAACATAACAAATTTCTGTCAATGCTAGAATAATGTTAATCAGAAACATTAATACGAAGGATGACCTAGTTAATGGTGCCATGGGGACTGTTTCTTCTTTTACCAGGATTGGAGAGGAAATAGCAGAAATCAATGTTTTGTTTGATGATAGAGTTGTTTGTCGTTTACACCAGTCATTATTTAACAATGGTATTTTTATAATTGAAAAATTTGAATATCATTTCAAAGTTTGTGGCAGACATATTGTAAGAAAACAATTTCCCCTTATTCCAGCATGGACCTGTATTATTCATAAAGTACAAGATTTATATTTTTGTAAACTTGCTTTGGATATAGGCAGTAACATTTTTGAAAAAGGAATGGCATACGTAGCATTAAGTCGATTACATACATTAGATGGACTTCAATTGCTCAAGTTTGATCCAAAAGTAGTGGTACCTCCAGATGATGTTTTAGAGGAATATGAAAGATGAAGAAATTTTTTGTTTTAGTTTGTCTTCAAATTAGATATTGCAGTGCATTAGAGAGTGAAAATGGTGCCAAATATTTGACAATCTGCATTACTTTGAGTTGCAAACCTTAATTTCATGCTTATTATTTCAGCTACAGAATATCCTTAAGAATGATTGAGTAATGATTCATGAAATATTATACATATATAAGTGTATATACCTTTTATTATTTAATTTTCACTTTCGATGTTATTATTAATGATATTAGTAGAAATGTTTTTTCACATGGAAATAGAAATCTGGACTGTACCTGTCAGTTTAATATTTGAAATGGACCTGATAAAATTTTACAAAAAGTTTTGGATATTATTACAAAGAGTATAATATGCTTTCTGTAATTCAATTCAATATCAAAAATAATTCCTAAAATTTGTTTTCTCACTATGTTATTCAAAGGTAATTATTTTAGATTAGTTATTCTGAATTTGTGAGCATGTTTACCAGTTTACTTTCATGAGAGCTCCAAAATATTTATACTGGAATAATCTTTTATTTATACCAGGGTGATGACAAAGTCAGTTTGAGCTTGAAAATCCTCAAAAAGTCAACCTCCTTACAGTCTTATAAAAAGGGAGACTCCCTGGTCACGTACTTCAATGTTGTTGCTGCGAACAAAGACAGTACTTTCATAGTCCGAATATATCTGAAACACAAATTTAATTTTATTAAAGAAGGGATGTCGTACAGGTTCACAGGTAAGAAACTACCTGCAATGCTCAGACATGATACATTTTAACACAGGAAATAATCAGAACAAATTAACTTCTTGCATAGCCCCACTTCATAAAATATGCGTGTTCAAGATTTTGAAATTTTATTCATACTATTTGAATCTTTTTTTTAACAGACATGATTAAGAAAGGAGATACTTACTGGGCTGTAAGTACAACTACAGTTGGTTGCATTGCACCTCTCAAAAATGTTGCCACAGCAGATATCGAACTCCCGGAAAATGAAAAGGCTGAAGGAGCTCCTCGTAGTTTAATGGATGCACTCCAATGTCCGCAAAAGTCCTCAGTGAAAGGGAAGATTGTCCAGGTATTATTTCTATGAGACATTTTTATTCCTTCCCAAAGTTTGGAAAACATATATTGAAATTAGGATGTCTATACACATGATTTTCAATGGACCTGTTCTTAAGGATTATTTCATGGTTTATCTCAAAATTTGTAATCAGATAATGCACCTGCTATTTTTGTCTTGATTCAACATTGTTCTTCCTCATTTATTAGGCTGTGGGGTGTAATTAGATTTCTTATTCTTACAAAAAAAATGATAAAATGCTTATCTAAATTTTCGATGTTAACAAATAGATATCACCATTAAGTCCTTACTTTTGCTAAATTGGTTTCTTTACTGAAATATAAAGTGAGGACATAGTTCTCCATTTTACTTATTTCTGGTTCTCCATTAAACTAATTCCATTTTGTGAGCCTTTAAATTATTTTGTAGATCTCTCCTCTGAAACGAAGAAGAAATGGTACCCTCGTTGTACGAAGTATCTCCCTTAAAGACACCTCAGGTGTAGCCAAGGTATGCCTTTTTGAAGGCACAGCAGAAATGCAGTTCGAGAGAGACCAAATATTGGAAGTCACCTCTGTATATCCTAAGAGTTTTCAAGGTGCACAACAACTAACCGGATCAGTTAGCACAAAATGCCAGGTATTATACCAGCTACAGACAGTTTAACATTAATTTCATTTACCAGGTTTTCCTTTAAATAAATAACTGAAATTGCATAATTCTGATTCAATATTTTCACCATAGCCGAAACTCCTTTTAATTGATACATCAATTCAATTACTGCTCTACTCATTGTTTACATCTTTTGTTTTAAACATCTATTTTCAGTTTGTGCAGGATGAAAATTTCAATGATTTACAAGTAACGGATGAAGATTTCCTTGAAGACCATGACTTCGATGTAGAGGAGGATCTGTCAAATGGAGATCCTTTTCAAGTAATCATGATCTCTGATGCTTACAGATATCTGTGCTGTCCAAGTCCAGGTAACTTGAAATGCAGTAGACGTTTTTCTTTTTTTTAATAAGATTACATACTGTAAAAGCACAAATATTCGTGGGGGATTAAATTTCGTTGTTAACAATTATCAACGAAATTAAATCCAACACAAAATTTTATATTACTATATATTGAATAGGGTTACTTTCAAAACAACGAAATGAAATCCCCACAAAACTATTTTTTAAGAAAAATCAACGAAATTTTATCCCCACGAAACTTTGTGCTTATACAGTATTCACATGTAGATCAACTCTTATAGTGTTCAACTTAATATTCTTGGAAAAGTGCTTAAAATTATTAACAAAGTTTTCCTATGTATATTTATTCATGCATAAGATTAAATATGATAAATTCTAATTTTTATTTATTGTAGGATGTCGCAAAAAAAAAAATTATTGACAAGAAATGTCCCATTTGTAGTAAAGAATCCAACAACACATATGGAATCAGAATCACTGTGGAAGCTCAAAATTGTAAAACTAATGAGAGCACTACAACGTCCCTTTTCAACGATGATGTGACCAATTTGTTCACACTTGATCAGGATGCTCTAGCAAGTGCTGATGACTTGCTCTACAAACTGTCGTTAAAGCTCCCTGTTTCTTTTACTGCTAAAAAGATAGATAACAGGTTCTACAACATTGATAAGATGTAAAAATCATGTCCCCACTGTCTCCTCTTTCATAAGGTGATCTTTAACATGTGCTTGATTGCCCTCCCCTAACCATTATACTAAAAAAAATATTCAAGACCTCCAGAAAACAACTTTGTCCATTAATTCCAATGTTTTTGTTCTATCATGTTTCGCATTAACACATGTCTTTGTGTTAAAAAGAGAATAAATGCCCTTGCATTCCTAACCCATTTTTGTAATCCCAAGATGACATTTTGAAAATGTCCTATTTGATGTTTTTGTATAACATGTAATTTGTACAGAGTTTTGATTACTTTATCGTATTTCATATGTCCTGCAAATGGATAGAGTTTCAAATTTTATTTCAATGATTTATGTACAATTGCATTCCTTGTGCCGAAGGAGAGGACAAGCAGACATTTTTGCATAAAGATGTCCTAATTTTGTGTTTTGTATGATATATTGTACATTTTGTACGAAGTTTTGTATATTATCACTCTTCATGTTTCCTGCACATGGATAGAGTTTCAAAGATTATTCAATGATTTTTATAAAATTGCATTCCTCATGCAGATTGAATACATATTTACCATAGTGGCATTGTTACTATGATTGTTTTACAGAGAGTTAAGTCATTTAATCATGTTTCATGAAATTCCTTGAATTAAATGATATGAGATGTTCAGTGCCTTTTTGTTTAAGTATGCTTTTTTATTATTATATACAATGGATACACAGTTGTTCTCAGGCACAGAGTACGTTTTTCTTGTATAAGTTTTACATTCCACAGTATTTTTCAAACTGTTTTCATTTATCTTTATTTTTATTTTTTTTTTTGCAGGGTGTATGAAACTCAGAAATGTTGATATGCCTGTTACATTTCTTTTTTCTTCATGTGAACTTTTCATTATTACATGTATAATGCATATGTTGAATTTTTTATCACTCATTCCATCAGTGTTTCATTGTGTATTATTACAAGTTTATTTTTCATGCCTGAAAGGAATTCCATATGTGTGCAGTTTTACATTCTTTTTAAGATATATACATGAGATGTGTTCAATCCTATGCAAATACTTAATATTCATCAAATTTTATAGCAAATGCTTTGTTTTAATTGTCAAAGGTTATTGGCATATACATAATTTTAAGTTTATAATTTTACATAGGCTTACTCCTTCCTATATTTTTTCATCCTAAAACAAATATTTTGATATAAAAGAAACATTCCTATTCTTTCACTAAAATTTTCATATTCATGAAGTAAGAAGTATTCACTCTCCATTTCATATGTCCAAATAAGAAAATTAAATCATCACTTGGTGCACTTATTGCCAAAAATGCATATATTTTCTTTTAACAGAGGTAATTATAAGAAAAAAGTGCATATTAAAATCAAATAGTTTGATTACAGCAAACGATTTCAAATGCTAACATTTAAATGACACATTTTAATTTTTTTTTCAAAAATATGTCCACACGTTGCATACATTAAATTTGGGAGGATAACGAAGATTTAATGCCCTTTCCTTAAACTTCTATCATACAGCTTTGAATATAACCCCCCCCCCTTTAATTCTAATGAAAATGGAGTACTCCTTTTTATTTTAAAGGTTTTGTTTATTGTTTACAAATGTTGTTTAAAGAATAAACTACTGAAAAAAACATGTATATGTGTAATTCTTAAACTCGTATGCACATCATTTGAATTGTTCTATTAGGAGGCTCATTACGCTCATTTCAGTTTCATTATAGCAGTACTTTTCATGTACATTTCCAGTGATTTCAAATGGAAGTAATGCTATAAATATTTAAATGCATTTTTCTAAAAATGACAATGCTTTGTGATATTTATCATTTTTATTAGAAATAGTAGTTTTCTCTTTCAAAAAAAAAAAAAAAAAAAGATTGTATTACTTCATTAAAACGTGCTGTAATTTGCCTCCTCAAACAGTTTGCGGCCGATTTGATGCTTTGCATCAATACTTATCTTGTGTAGTTATGTTTTTAACTAGCCCGACGGGCTACCTCCTTGCAGAAAACAACTAGCCCGATCCCCAAAAATGGTAGCCCCGGTTGCTTGGATATGCTAATTGCTCACCCCTGGTACATACAAACAATTGCAAAAACTTTACAGACTTCTACAAAGTACAAACACACACTAAATCCCGCGCTTCTGTCATACTTTTCAAGTTTTTTATGCGTTTTGTGTAAAAAGTCGAGAAAAAAAATTGTATTGGGATATTTTTGGACGCGCGCGCGAAATTTATTTTTTTAATATTATAATTTTGATTTGTTAAAAATAGAAGCGGCGAATCCGACGAACTATATTAGAAATTGGTATGGCCTAAGTATAGTAATGTGCATGAAACATATGGAAATAACGAACGGTATTCAAGATCAAAAATCCATAAAACAATACAAAATAGGAGTAGAGAAAACACGGATCCCCACAACATCAGAGGTGGGATCAGGTGCCATGGAGGAGCGAGAATCACGGGTTTTCCGTTATTTCCCGATCATGATAAAGAGCACACGGCCACACCGCCGTGTGCTCTCTATCATGATCGGGAAATAAGGGAAAATTCGTCGTCAATTCAGTGCAATAATGGCCAAGTTCCGAGTATACGACAAATTTGTAGCTCTCCACCGGCAAAATGGTGGCGTCTCCATATATTAATGAAAAAATTTTCGAGAGGGACGGTTATAACATGCAACCAAGCAATCATAATTAATATATTTATGTAAGTTTTATCTGAAGTTAGGTGTTCTGCTGGTCGAACTGATGTTTGATCAATAATTGTTCCCCATTTTCGCGAAAGCGAGGGGACATTAAATCTCATTCGTTTGTCTGTTCGTCAGTCTGTCCGTCACAAAAACTTTAACCTTGCCCATAACTTTTGATTTTGTGGAGCTATGACTTTCATATTTCACATGTGTATTCTTTCTTTGGATACCACCAAATTTGACCTTTTGACCTTGACCTTGGAGTTTGACCCACTTTTACACAAAAATTCCGAACATTTACTTTGGCCATAACTTTTGAATGGTAAGTACTAGGACTTTCATATTTCACATATGTATTATTTGTGGCAAGACCTTTCATTGGATACCAACAATCTTGACCTTTTGACCTTGGAGATTTACGTACTTATGAAAAAACTATAACCTTGACCATAACTGTTGAACGGTAAGGGCTAAGGCTTTCGTAGTTCATATATGTTATTCTTGTGAGAAGACCTTTTATTGGATACCAAGAACTTTTTACCATTTGACCTTGACCTTGGAGTTTAAACTTCTTTTTAAAAACTTTAACCTTGGCTACAACTTTTAAACGATAGATAGTAGGACTTTTATATTTCACATATACTTATGAAAAAACTTTAACGTTGACCATAACTTTTGATTGGTGAGGGCTAGGGCTTTCGTTATTCAATTATGTAATCCTTGTGAGAAGACCTCCCATTGATACCAAGGACTTTGCCCTTTGATCTTGGAGTTTTAACTACTTTTTATTAAAAACTTTAACCTTGGTCACAACTTTTGAACGGTAGATACTAGGACTTTCAAATTTCACATATGTGTTCTTTGCGGCAAGACCTTCCATTGGATACCAACAACTTTGACCTTTTGACCTTGGAGATTTACGTACTTTTGAAAGAACGTAAACCTTGGTCATATTTTTGAACGGTAAGGGCTAGGGCTTTCATACTTCACACATATGTAATCCTTGTGAGAAGACTTTTCATTGGATATCAACGATATCAACAACTTTGACCCTTTGATCATGACCTTGGAGTTGACCTACTTTTAAAAAACTTGAACTTTGGCCATAACTTTTTAACGGTTTGGATTAGGGTTTTCATCCTTCACATATGTATTACTTGTGACAAGACCTTTCTTAAGAAACCAATATTTCAGACCCTTTCACGTTGGAGTTTGACCTACCTTTCAAAAATTTATCCTCGACTATAACTTTTGAACAGGTGGTGCTAGGGATTTTGTATTTCACAATCATATTTCTTGTGAGAAAAACCCTACTTTGGGTAATAATATATTTAATTTGCATTAAAAAAAAATTAATCTTCGTTATGTTGCCATTCGGGGTCATCAGTGTCTCACAAACACATCTTATTCCTTAAATTGAGAAGAGATAGGGCTTTCATATATGACATGTGCATTACCTGTGACAAGATAATTCCGAACATGCTATGATATCTTACCCCTTGACCTTCACGATTGACTTTATTTGTAAAGAAAAAATCAACTTCAATGATAATTTCGAGATAAATGACATATGATAGGGTGTTAGACACAATATGTCATAAAACATAACATTTCACCCACAAAGACACCGAAAGCGGGGGACCACAATTCTTTGAATTTGCTTGTTTTAAAGTTATTTTTCAAATACGTTACACTTGTCAAGCTGTGAACAGAAATGTATATAGTTTGCTGTTTTGGTGGTTGCTGGGTGACATAATCCTACAAATACTGATGCTGGAAATTCATACAGAACAATAAGACATACATGCAAGTTTTTTTTTCAATTATCTTTACATGTTTTGATTGTCGATTTAGTATTTCTTGAATTATGATTATTAGTTGCTCCTGAGTAAAAGATTCGTCTTCTGTGGTGTCGGACAGTGAGAGAATCAAAATGCTAGATAGCATGAACAAAGAATGGGACGAGAGAATTGCGAGACTGAAACGGAAGCTTCGTTAAATCGGGAGATTAGGGTGAAACACTTTTCAAAGACCATTCCATGAAAAATTCTATACTGGTTTCACAATTTTTATGCCCCCGTAAACGAAGTTTCGGGGGTGAAAAGTCTGTCTGTCTGTTTGTCCGCAAAAACTTTAACCGTGCCCATAACTTTTGATTTAGTGGAAATATGAATTTCATATTTCACATTTGTATTTCATGTAACAAGACCTTTCTTTGGGTACCACCAAATTTGACCTTGGAGTTTGACCCACTTTTACACAAAAATTCTTATGTTTTTCTTTGGCCATATCTGTTGAACAGTAAATAACAGGACTTTTATACTTCATATATGTATTGTTTGTGGAAAGATAACAACAACTCTGACCTTTTGACCTTGACCTTGGAGATGCCAGTACTAATGAAAAAAATTTTAAC